CTTAGCTTAATGTATTAAGGAAAAAGCCAGTTCTCTTCTCATGCTTTATAAAACCCTGAAGCCAAATTATGCCTTAGTGCCTCTTGCTCTACCCCCATGCCCTCAGAGTATGGTCCCAATGAAACTCTACTAATCACCAACAGAATCAAACTACAAATTAAAATCCAGTGATTCAAAGAAATCTCAGATTACTTAAATGTAATAAAAATAGAAAACGCCTATTCACATTTCCACAAACAATCCTAACGTACTTGTCATAAACCAAAAGCATGTAATTCCCTTTTTGGTTTACTACTCAGGCCAGCTGGGGGGAATCACAAAGGCTATAACCTTTGCAGATGAGTCAGTGTAATATTGATTTTGGCCTTTTGCCTCTGCTCCAGCTTATTCAGAAGTGTCCTATCGATTTTGAAGGAATTATTTGTGGACTACTAGGCATGAGAAGAAAAATAAAGTGAATGTCCTGATTGCGTAGTGGGGCTCCATGTTAGGCTGCATGTGTATCTATCTATCTTGCACACACATTCCAAACTGACAATCAGGTCCATATGTTATGTATTACAGCAAATACTGTTGCAGGAGTATGAGACAAAACAGGCAGAAAACACAATCTACAAATGTAAACCATGGTTTGATCATCTCTACACGTCTAGACTGTCAACCATCACTATGTACACCAACTTTTACAGAAGACTGCTTTATACACAACCTGTAGTCAAAAATGCTCTTATAACATGTAACAATCCAATCTGACACATGCAAGATAAAAATTTGATATAAACAATAACCCAGTTTGGGAGGGAAAGGTTGTGTTGGTTTGTTTGTTTTTCACTAAAATATGTTTACATTTTTAATCTACAAACATACCTATCTTTACCATGGTGTCCTTTTTCTAAATTCTGTCCTTGTCACCAACCCAGAACCGATCAACTTTTACTCCTGAAGTTCACAAACACTTCTTAAAAGGGGTGCTGTCAGCACACCAGTTGTGCTGATTCACTTGCTCTAAGGGACAGGTTCAACACATCTTCTGTCCGCTCATTTGTCATTGACCTGACTACAGTGTTCAGTCAATAAATCTTTACCAGAATAACTTGTTTCGCATGACTGTCATCTCTCCCACTAGAATGGAAGTGTTCTGCAAATGAGTGATCTGTCAATCCAAGTAGTATTTCTTTTCCAATATATGTACGTTATCATAATCTCCTTCATCACCTCCCACTGAAATTCACTGCAAGCAAACACTGCCTAATACAGTATATTTCCTTTAACAAAAAAGAAAAAACCTGAAGAAAAAATATGTCTCACACAGGAAATGTTCCCCAAGGAGGTATTCTTTATTTAGCCAAATCCCGAGACCACCACTTACATTTTACTCACAGAAGAATACATCCAATCCTATCTTCCTCTCAGGTGGGATGCAGGGTTTTCAGCAAGGCAGAGGATGTGATGGAGAGGAGAGTTATGGGTTGGGCTATAATTAACCACTGGTAGAGGACAGCTTCAGTACCCTAGTCAAATCTTTATCCCTCTTCTCTCTAAACTGAAAGCAGCCACTGACCTAGGCTATTAGGAATTGGATAAGACTTGTCACAAAAAGGAGGTAACGGTTGCTACAAAAGGAAATGGGAGTCTTCCAAAAACTTTAGTCCCTAGAAAAGTTATTAGGCTGTAGCACACAGTGGTATGCAAAGACAGGGGAGGAAGCTTGCTGATTCAGCTTTTACTGCACAATGCACGAATTTAGTCTATGCAATCACTCTGCCAGATTTGGAGAGGACATGACAGCATTTAGGAAGCACTTGTCTGCAGTTACCACCCAGAAAGCCACTGTCACATACAAACCACAGCATATGGTTTAAAAATGTATTTTAAACACACTGGGTAAATACGACTGAGAAACAACAGATAAAATTAAGCCATGAGGTGGCAGATGAACAGATGCTGCAATAGGACTAACCCTGTTCTCAGACACTTACACATGGAATTCCTTTGTAAGGAGAATAATCAACCCTAAAAGAGAAAGGATAGTACTTTGAAAGAAGAAGTTTAGTTCTGCAGTTTTACAAAAAGTTTAGTGCTTAGGTAGAACAGTTGCTTCAACATGTTTGTGTCTATGAAAACAGAGTACTAAATCTGGAAGTTTGCCTAGTGTCTCACACTTTGAGAATAATCTCTCCCTTTCAGTCACAGTATTTTATCTGGTCATCAGTAACCACTAAATTTCTGAGGGTCTGCCTTACAAAAATACTGTTCCTTCATTGCTCCTTCTCCATTATTCAGTGAAATAGTTACATAGTAAAAATGTTTATATGATAGACATTATTACAGCATGGCAATTTGCATGTATTTTTCTTGAATTAATAACTTACCTTATCAACAAATTTATTATTTAAAAAAAGCATCTCTATTTTATCTCATTGTACCTTTCTCTTACCAAAAGTAATCAAGTTGGGGATCATGCAGAAAAACACAGTTAAAGGCAAAATACGAAAAGCTCCTACATAGGGCAAATAACAATAAAACTCAGTGCCAGAGAGCCAAAACCCTATCACTTACTGTCTTTCCAACACTATCCACTGCTCTTCAATTCAATTTGATCTGTGCTGTAGCTCTCAGACATGTGGACAAGGAAATCACACACAGCTGGCAACAAACAGCAGCAATCAAACACAGAAGGACAATCACATGGAAGCAACCTATTTCTTAAGTTTGTCTGCATGGAATGGGATAAATTCCAAAACAAATGTCCCTGTAGCACATGCACAAAAATATCCTCTTCCTCAGCCTAACTCCCTTCTCCTAGGACTACGCTAGCAATCCGAAACAAATTTCAGCAGTTCCAGTTAGCTCTAACATCGCACAGATGCCTTTAGAGGATCACCAACTTCTCCAGATATCACACTGTGCAAAGGTACATGAACAGAGGCTCTTTCAGCTTTGGCCTGTTGTGCTTGCACACCACAAAGTATTTTTGCTATTGAAGCTGTTATGACAAGCAATCAAAGGCAACCAACTGAGAAAGAAGCAGAGGAAAAGAGCTTCACATGTATTCAAAATTAATTATACCAGACAGGTAAGGGAAATGGACTCCAGAAAACCCTGTGAGAGGAAGGATTATTTCCAAAGACAGATTTAGAAATTCCTGTCTCATCTAACGTGCTCTTTCAGCGAGTTTCAAATTTGGAAATCTCAACAAATAACAGTATCTCCCCATTCTACATTGTTTACTGATACACATTTCTCCTGCACATTTGATTAGTTACAGAAGAGCTCCATATATAAGGCTTTCAGAAAGAAAGGTAACATTTTTTGACAATTTCTTTTGACAATTCAGCACGTTAGATTAAGATCAATATTACAGTAACATTGCATTGCTAACTCCTTCGGTTTTATGCCTTATGCAAAACTTGATGTTTCTTTAGAGCTGTTTATGAAAAGAATCACATATAAATATATACAAAGACTATACAACAAATGTAATAATTTCTAAATGCTTACATTCTTTCTCATGTAATTTATTAAATATTATTTTTATTCACTGTCTCTTGAATTTCAAAATATGCTGCCTGAACAACAGATCAGTTCAAGATGAAGAGTCACTATAGTACCTTTTTTGCAAAAAAAAGAGAACATTTCCCTATTTTTGTTAAGCAGAAAAAATGAGGGTGAAAATACAGCCATATTTTTGTCCTGCTGATGATCTAGGTTTTTCACAGTTATTTTTATAGGAAACCCATACTAGATAAACAGGCAGCATAATATCTTTGTAAGACATCAACCTCTGGTTTATGAATTAGAATTTTATATGGTCTGTCAAACTTAATTTTTTTATTGTTGACTAAAATATGTTCCTTTCAAGCAGACAGTCACTAGCAGTGACCCACTTTGAACTTGATTGTAACAAAGTATATGGTTGTAATGTTAGCCTAAACATTACATTTCCAAAACCTTACAAAAGGGAGCAGAAAGATGGAATAAAGAAAAAATTATAATGAATAAAAAAATCAAGAATTACTCCTAGGAATTCTATTTCAGGCAAAGGGAATTAAAAACAACAATTCACAGTCTGCATAAACGATTACCTTTCACAGAGGAAGGGATAGTCAGACCTACCACTGAGGGGTTTCTGCCCTCTGTCCAGGTCTTATTGCTTTGTTGGAGCCTGCAGTGCCTGGTTTTACACTCAAAGAGTCTAGAAAACAGCAGTGACTAAAAAGGTCATGAACTGACATTATTTTACTACTTCACTTTGTGTTTTTAACATTTTGCTGTGGTCTTGCATCAAGCACATGATGGCCTTGATCTTCATAATTTCTTTATTAAGCGTGACCACCTGCTTGCTGGGTTGCATGTGACTGCACCCACATGCCAAGCAGGAAAGATGCCAGCCTGCCCCTGTATCCTGCTATGTGTGTCCTCAATACTCGTCTCTTGCTCCCCTCATCTCCTACACACGTTCTCATGGCAAAGGGGAAGGAGAAGAATGTTGGAGAAGTGTGACTAGTAGGTGAGAGTAAAATGGAAAGTGACTGAGCAAACAGGGAGCAATTAATAATGCAAGAGGGGAACACAGTGAGAGGAAAGAAGGGCAAGTTAGTGGTAGAGTGAAAAAGGAGGGTAGGGTTGTGAGGAAGGCTTCGCTCATAGCTTTTAAACATAACCTGGCACCATCATTCTTTTGGCATTAGGAAAATAAAAATTAGAGATTTTCTTACAGATAAAATACAATTTTATCTGTTTTACTCCAGATACTAAGTTCTGTATTATCTCCATGTTTCTGAGCACAACATAGCTCATGACATTTAATGCTGCTACAGGGTAACATTGTTTGCAAGTAAACGAAGCAAAATTAAGTTGCACAGAGTAACCTGATAAGTCAGAACAAGCCTCTGACCAGAAAGCAGGAGCCCAAGCACAGTCTCAATGATAAGTTGCCCAAAAGAGAGGACAACACCATGGAAAGAGCATGAGACAGGCAGAAGCAGGTGAAAACTCACCACTGGAGCAGTTGGGTCCTCCCCAGCCAGGCTCACACTGACAGGTGTTTGGAGCAATACAACGACCATGGACACATTTATCAGCACAATGAGCTGTCAGAGAAGGAAACAAAAAAAGAATTAAAGAAGAACTCCCAGCACTCCTAATCCAGATCTTTCATGTCTCAAATATCCTTTAAAAGCAAAATAAACATTACTGTATTAATGTTTGATGGCACGCCTTCAAAGTAAATTTTCTTACTTCACTCTCTGTTTCTCCTAAGTTTGAAGGCTCCAACTAAAAACATGTTGCCACTACTCAAATACTTCTGCATTTAACAAAGGGAAAATTGCCCACATCTAACAAAAAAAGAGTCATAGTATGATACAGGTTGGAAACCCATTTGAACATGGTCCCGGGCCAGAGGCTCTAGTGGCCCTGTCTGAGCAGGGATGTTGGACAAGATGACTTCCACAGGTCCCTTCCAACCTCAACCATCCTGTTATTCTCTGAAGCAACTCTCATGCCAAGAAAAAGAGGGGAACTTCTGGCATAAAAAGAGCAGTTCTCTTGCAACAGCATGGATAAAATACAACTCGAAACACATCACTATTTTAATACTGATTTTTCTGAATGGTTGCACAGTTCAAATGAAGCACAAAACAGTGATGATGATTAAGGTAAGGCACAAAATATAAACCCTATGAATCACTGCAACGTTAATTCTAAGTGCTAAGCAGAGCTGCTTGAGATTTTTCTTCCTAATTTATTTTTATGATTTGCAAGCATGTGTTTCTACAGTTAAGGCTTACTTTGAAATAGAACTTTTATTTGAAACTTTTAAGAAAAACTTGAAATGGCTTTGATATCCAGCACATTGATGTAACTGACTCAGAATACAATACACTGCAGAGGAAGAATCTGCAACCAGTAACAGTTTGTTGGCATCATATTCATCATGAAATACCCTTAACTTTCCAAAATACATACACCGTAATACTTTCCTTCTAGTTTTAACAACAATAAAACTTAAAAAATGTGCACAGGATGAGAATCTTTGTACCAACATTTCCAGAGAAACTACGACGTAATTTGATCGGTATACTAATGAATACAAGGTGAACGATGGGAAGAAGACAAAGTTGGTGTTTACAAGAAATTTAATGGGACTACATGTGAATCATTTTGGTTCTGAATGAGTTGAAAATGCTCTGTACCAATTAGGAAAAACATTTGCAAAATGTCCTGGTTTTTTCCTAATTAAACATGATGAAGCATGTTGGTCATCTTTGTATTTTGGTGGCCAAGAAAAAGGAAAGCCACACAGAGTTCAATCACATATAATATCAAAAACTTTGGTTATCTGGGATCCCAGCCATCAACTGCGTATTTTTACAGTCCTTAATTTTCATTCTCAACTTTTATTTCTAATAAGCTACTTTCCAGATGTGCATTAAAATTATCTTCATTAGAAATCAACAGGGAGAATATAGATTTTTAAATGTTAGATTACACAAGATATTAATACAAAGCTATTTCTTTGTTCTCTATTTCTTTATTATGAAAAGACTAACTTTAAATAATACATCACAATTTTCCATTACTCTTGTAACTAGACATGAATTACTGAAGACTCTTGCTTAGTAAGCGCTGCCTTGGGCACTGAAGCTCTCCCTAAATGAAATGTGTTAAAAATCTTACCAGTAAAACAGAAGACAACAGAGAGCACCTGTACACATACACATCGCTGCAGGTGCACATGTATGAATAACTTAGTGAATACCAACACACTTAAACCAAATTCCTGAGCACTAAGGCTAAATAAAATACAGTGACATTCCATCGCGTACTCTGTGAGACAGATGGAAAAAAACCCACAAAAATCAAAACACTGTAAGAAACTGGACCCAGTGAGAGGTACAGAAGCAGCTCTTTGAGCATCTCCTTCCACTGCCCCTCATGCCATGCCAAGCACATAGGTCCTTCTTACAATCCCTATGTAACTGCACATGCTATAGCGCTGTGCAAATAATCATCAATTACTTCCAATAATAACAGAGTTGTCTTAGAACAAACGTATGACACATGAAACTTTGGGTCAGAGTGTTTACAATGCAGAGTCATCTTGCAAATTAGAGCTGTATTCTTTTCTTAGCCACAATAGCATAAACCAACAGTAGCCTCTCTTCAGCCGCTGAAGTGGTGTTTCAGTTTTCGATTAGCAGAACATAAATCAAACACAACTCTTCACACTACTAAGTCTCTACAGAAGTTATCTATAGGCAACAATGTTGGGGGTTTTGACAGCCAAAATTCTGCTGACTCTAATGACGAAGAAATATGGCATAAGGACCACTGAAGGAAGCTGCATAATATAAATATTGCTGCTTCCAAATAAATTCAATGAAGATCAATCAAAATTACATATATATATATGGCAGACAAAGACACAAATTTCTTTCTCAAAGAAGGAGTACATGTAATTCTTTACTTTGAAGAAGCTAAACTAAAGCCAAAGATGCTTAAAAAAATGTTCAAGATATACAAAAGAATTAAAGATATCAGTATTTTCCTTTTTTTAAAAAGTTTCTTAATGCCCCAAAATACATCTGATCAAAGAATGATTTCTTCCTACACTCTGGATATATACAAAAACCTATTTTGTAACCAAGAGAAATTATTCTCTAGACATCTTATGGGCTAACCGATACTTGGCAACTGAATCCTAGTCAACATCCCTAAGAGACAGCATCTGTAAAAAAATTATTGCACTGAACACGGGGATAAGAGAACCAAAATTCACTACATGTCCTACAAAAAAAAAGTAAGGTGAGGACAACGTGAAAAGCACTAGAACAAACTGAAAAGACATAAATCACACTAGGAACAGAGAAAAGTATTTTCTCTGGGTTTTCTGTGGAATTGTTGGACATGATATAAGAAAATACTTACATGCAAGAGTAGGTAAAAAACTTAACATGAAGTCTTTTTGATACTGAGCAGCGTAAAGAAGCATCAAAAATTCATTGGCAGCAGCAAATTGCATAAGCTATATCGTCTTCTTTTGTAAGGGAAAAATCAATTATCACAGAAAAACCATTCTGAGCTTACTCTTGCATATTTCTTTTTACATCTTATTTCCCCTTTTGTTCTGTGTCTTATTGTTTCCTTCAAAATCTCTAAAATCCTGCCTTGTCCAACTCACAGGTCTATTTCAGTGGATCATATCCTTTCATTTTCTTACGGAATAAAAGGTAGATTTGCTCTTTCTGATTATAGAGTATCAGCCTGCTTGGAATATCTATGAAGTATCTGCTGCTGCATGTGCGGTTCCCTGTAGCAGCCCTTTCCACATCACAGGAGGAGCGGCCTCATCCTCTGGACACAAGTCCACCAGGCCTCTTAAGCTCTGTTCCCACCTCAGTCACAGGCACCAGTACTTCTGTAACCAGCTGAATGAAGATGCCCTGCTGAGGAAGCTCAGCAAAGTGGATTAATGTGCATAGACATGTGTAAACCAGCCAGGCCATTGACACCATTATTACAGCAAGCTGAAAGCAATGTGAGGCAAGGGCTCGGCCAACATGTTCCCAGACATGACTTAGCACCACAGCCTTGGTAGGGGAAATCATACCAGGGGGAATAAGCCAATCATGCTAGAGGCATAGAACGTATAATACAATTCTAGGTCAAGTTGCCACTTTCAAACACAGTGCTCCAGCTCAAGAGAAGACTGCAATTCAAATGCCTACTCATATGCTGATGGGCTCCAGCATACTCCCTGTGGTACAAACACAGATTGCTCCTCCATTGCTATACCTGCTTAAAGAATAAAT